TATTTTCAGAATTAGTTGCTAGAGTTTTTGTATGTGAAGTGATCTTTACTTGAAGATACAGTCATGGATTTGCAGTAGGTGTAAATTGACATCTGGTCTCTGGCTGTCAGTAAATCTTCACTACAGGAGGGTCTGTCTGTTCCTTTCTTTCTTTATTTTTTATAATTAGCAATTTGAATCAATGGTAAAAAATCTCCAAAGGTGGACCCAGTTGTAGCAACATTTATTGAGCTGTGTTCCACAGGAGACTGTTCTGGGTCTGGAATTACTCAATATTTTTATTAATGACTTCACAGCAGAAGAGAGTTTGCTTATTAAATTTATAGAAAGTTTGCTTATTAAATTTATAGATGGCATCAGCGTGGGAGATGCTGAAGACACTAGGAGATGGGGATAGAATTCAAAATAAGCAAAGTGTTACACTGATGTGAGAATAGCCACCTTCAAAGAGTAGAGAGAGAGGCAGCAGCTCTACAGGAAGAGAGGTGTTGATCCCTCCCTTCTACCTAGTGGGGCATTTTAACTAAGCAAGTAGAAACTTCCACCTTTCAAGTGTTGTGCTGCCATGGTAAGGTCTCTGTTGAAATGCTGTTCCAAACAGGTGTGAGCAGATGAGATCAGCAAAAATGATGAGAGGTCTAGAAAACACTGTATGCAGGATTAAGCCTTCAGAGTCAAGTGTCAGTGCCGAAGGAGACGATGCCTTGGTTTCTCTGTCACCCAGTGGTGTCCTGTACCCTGGGTAGAAATGGACTGAGCTGCCTGCTGTGGCTTTATCTACAAGACCCAGCTGTTCTATTTGCAGCTTCCCCCCATCTCCTTTGAGCATACCTGCCAGACAGCACCCCTCTCCATCCCTGGCTCCCATTGTACAATCCTGCTGGAGCAGATATTCCTACTTTTTTAGCTACCATTCTCTGATCCTGATTTGTTAACCTCCTTTCCAGCCGATTATGGCCCTTAATGGAAAAGAAATTAATGTCTCAATTCACAGAGTATAAACAGCCATAAGACAAGAGCAAAACAATTTCTTCATTACTAGCAGTGGTTTCTGACTCTCTTTCTACTTGACAGGTTTCTTAATGATATTTGAGCTACTTGCTGACCATCCTATGCAGGTGGAAATCACAATGAGCTCTTAATGACAAGTGGCCTCTTTATGTGTTTTCTATTCTTGTGTGGGTGTGATGGACAGCAAGTAATTCTGACATTAATTTAGTATGAAGGAAAAGGGTATGGATCCTCTGTAACAACTCTGAGTGTAGCAGATCATGACCTGAGTGTAACACAACCATGTCTCACTATTGTGAAAATGATGTAAGCTGTATTGGAATGCCTAAACAGAAATGTCCAACCATGCCGAATAATCCTTTTTCAGACCTTGGCATTTTTGGTTTATCTTAGCTAGAATGCTGGGTACAGTTCTGGACAATGAAATTCAAGGAAGCTGCATATAGAGAAGAGCAAAATAATATCCCCAAACCACCCCCAGAAACACCATACCTACAAAATGATGTAAGCAGTAGGACTGAAAGAACTGGGATTATTTAGTAGTAGACAAGACTGAAGAGGGATGTCTTCATGTGTGTAAATGGTTGTGAAAGGAAGACATGAATAAACTATTATTATGAGCAAGATAAAAGAGTAGTCTTACATTTCAGCAGATGTTAGGAGAGCCAGTCCAATAGTAAGGACAGCTGAGCACTAGACTATCTTGCTTCATGATCTGTGATGTGTTCATCCCTGAAAGTTTTTAAGCACAGGTTGGACAATCACCTTTCATCCTTCAGGAATGCTTAGGTGTAGACTGATCCTGCCTTAGGGCTGCACGCATAGATGAGCTGTCTTGTTACGTTTCTTCAGGTTCTTTGTCTTTGCTTCATTTATAGACAGGATTGGTTTGTGGCATTGCCTGGCAAAAATAAAGAGTTTTGGCATGCTGACTCCCATTCAGGAATTGGGGACCAAAAGAAACTGAAAACTCCCACTGCAGGGCAATTAGGTTTTCACAAGACTGTGTTAAAACAGTATTATTCATTGTAAACAAGAATTACAATGAGCCAGTAAAGAATAAAGCTATAGAAAGAAGACATGCATAATTCCTAAATAAAGTAAGTTAGTTCTATTGTTAATACAGAAATAAAAATATGAGAAACTGTAAAGATTGTGATTTATGTGTTGAAAAGCAATAATGATGCTAAGCCTAGTAGGTAACTAAGTTGTCTTATGTTTCCGAGGAAAAGTTTTATGTGAAAGATGGAGGTCATGGACAAGCAGGAAACTGCCTGAAAACAAGTAAAACAAGTTCACAGCAAGAAGAACACCACCTCAGAGTGGGGTCTTCTTTATACGCCATCACTAATGCGAAACTGTCTCCTCCTACATCTGAGAAATAGCTATACTTAGTCTGTTGTCTGCTATAAAGCTTTTTTCTCTGCTCATGCATCTAGAAAATCCTGGGTCTTGTCTCACTTCTGACGTCTCTCACTTGCATTTTTCCTCCTGTTCTATTTTCTATTAATCTGAGTCAATTTTGCAAATGAGAAAATGAGGACCAGACAGCACATAACTGAATATGTTCTCTTAAACATTTGCCCATATTACTGAACACTAATTCTAATTCAGCACTATTGTTTTTAGCCTACTAAAGTCTAAAAAGAGACTGAGGTTATAAGACTAGTCCAGATGGGATCATGCCTCCTTGTAGTCAGCAGAGATGAATGGGTATTTTTAGGGAAAGGTTCATGTGAAGGTATCTGTTTCTCTCTATTGTCGTCATATTGTCTCTCTCAGCAGCTATAAAGGGAGCCCATGGTGATTATTTGAGATGAAGTTATCTTCGTGGTAGATGTCTACATTCATTAAGAATCACACCTCTTGTTTCTAAATAATACAACCCTCTGCTTATAATAGATTATTTAATGCACTTTCATGTTTCTTTGGCAATAGGTGTGATTTCTGGGGTTGTTGATGTACTGTTTTCACGAGACAAACTTTTGCAGGAAGCAGTTACCTGTGAGTGTCCCATCTTCATCCTAACCTGCAGATGAGGGAGGTTTAACAGAGCCAGATTGTGTGCTTTGCACCTAATTGTAATGGCCAGTTTTGACATTAGATATGCTGAGGAGCATGGCTATTGAGAGCTGATTAGTGGCAACCAGTCTCTTGGTAACAAAGTGGGAAGAGTATAAAATGGCTTGGAGCACACAGAAACACACAGTCATTCAGCCCAAACTGTCCCTCTGTACTTTTCAACTTCTTTGGTAGATGCCATCTACCTCCACACCTCTACTTAATTCCTGGGCACTTGCTGCCTTCAACTTTTCTATGAGTCACTCAAAACACATCGCTGAGAATATCTTCATGGGCATTTATTCTGCCATATTGTTTCTGTCGACTTCTCTCTTCCAGTTAACAGAATCAAAGGGTCAGAGAATATCTGAGGTTGAAGAGAGATTGTCTGGTCCAACCCTGCTTAAGCAGGGTCCTAGAGCTGATTGTCCAGCACCATGGCCGAATGGCTTTTGAATATCTCCAAGGATGGAGACTCCGCAGTGTCTCTGGGAGCCTGTGCCACTGCTCAGTCATCCTCATTGCAAAAAAGTGTTTCCTGATGTTTAGATGGAAGCTCCTGTGTGTCAGTTGGTGCCCATTGCCTCTGGTCCTGTCACTGGGCACCACTGAAAAACACCTGGCTCCATGCTCTTTGCAAACTCACTTCAGGTATTTACAGATTTTGATAACCCCTCTGACCCTTCTCTTTTCCAGGATAAACAGTCCCAGCTCTTGGGCTTTTCTCATAGAAGAGTTGTTCCAGTCTCTTAATCATCTTCGTCACCCTTTATTGGACTTTCTTCAGAGTGTCCCTTGTACTGAGTTGCCCACGTCCCTTGTGCTGAGAAGCCCCAACTGGACACAGCACTCCAGGTGTGGCCTCACCAGTGCTGAGTATAGGGGAATGATCACCTCTCCTGACCTGCTGCAATGCGTTGTCTGATGCAACCCAGGATTCCATTTGCCTTCTTTGCTGCAAGGGCACATTGCTGGTTCATGATCAAGCTGGTGTCCACCAACACCGCCAGGTCCTTTCATGCAAAGCTGCTTTCAGCTGGGTTTCCCACAGCATATGTTGGTGCCTGGAGTTGCTCCTCCGCAGCTCAGGGCTTTACACTGCTCCTTGTTGAACTTCATGAAGTTCCTGTCAGCCCATTTCTCCAGCCAGTTGAGGTCCCTCTGTATGGCAGCACACTCCTCTGGACTCCTCCCAGTTTTGTGTTGTCAGCAAAGTTGCTGAAGGCACACTCTGACACATCACCCAGGTCATTAATGACAATATTGAGCAGGACTGCACCCAGTACTGACCCTTTGGGTACACTGCAAGTTGTATGCTTCCAGCTAAGCTTTATCTCTGGGCCCAGAGATGGATCACCACTCTGTGGGCTCAAATGTTCATCCAGTTTTCAATCCACCTGAGTTTCCTTCAGGTTTTATTCACTTGTAGAGAAAATTAATTTACCAGAAGTTGCTTTCACCTCTTTAGCCCAGAGGACCTGCTGGCAGCTTAACAGATGGTCTATGAGCAGGTGTAGTCCCTGGACTTCAATCTAAGATGCAAATTCTCTCTTTTTAGCTCAGAAAGAAGATTTCATATTATAAGAAACATCCCCATGGCCAAGTGACTGCACAGGTAGAAGCAGGAATCCATATTAAGCCTCTGCCATAAGCACAGCTTGGAACACATAGGTCTTGCTATAGCCCTTCAGCAATGGTGCATATGCCTGCAGCTACAGCATGTGCTTCATGTCAGCTGTTGAACTCCCAAGGTAGCTCCTCTTGGGCACTGTGAGTGGGTCAGCAAGTGCTCTGTCACTGCCTGGGTGGAAATTACTGTTCCTATGGTGTTTGTCAGTGGACTATTGAGAAAGGCAAGCTGCCTTAGCAGGGTATAAATTCCCCTGTCTATATGCCAGTTCTCTTTCAGCAGATGCAGAGTGCAAGAGATGAAGCTCCTCATGCCAGCTACCCTCATCCTGTTCCTCTCTGCATCCCAGGCACAGGGGAACAGGAGCACACCTCCGTCCTCACTGTGCACAATGGAGGCCACTGGGGCAAACTGGGGGAGTCAGCAATTTTGCCACTACGGCTATGCCAATGGAGCTGAAGGTAAAATTCTCCCTATTTCCCAGAATTTCTTGTCCCTGTGCCTTGGTCCACAGCTCTCCACCTCCCAGGATGGTCTTGTCCAGAGTCTGAGGGCTTTCTGCAGCGGTTTTCCTCTTCCTGACTATGGCACTCTGTACACAAAAATATGAGTCTTCTGGAAAACTTAGCCTAGAAAATGGAGCAAAATCTGCAATATATGTGGTTTGCAGACCAAGGTAGAGCCCTAACAAGGTGGCAGAATGACACAGTACTCAAGAATGTGAAGTTTTTCTGCTGTAAATGAGCACTAGCTTCATCTTCATCACTGCCTACACATCCCATATCCCACAGCTAAGGAAACATGAGTAAAGCTTGGCTTTAGCTTTACACTGGGACATACCTGTGACGTTTGATTTCTTGCATCTTGCTGAGCCTGCTAATGCCTCAAATGATGATGTCTTTAACACCTACCAGTACGTTAGCATAACTTCTCACAGTTATTGAAGTGTATTATGTTCACAAGAATCATCATGCCATCTAACTGCTGGCAGATAACCGAAAATTCCTGATTTCTGACAGCTGCTCAGAGCTGAGGAACAGATTTCTCCACTTCTTTTTTTCTTTCACTGGTGAGTTTCTTTCAGGTTTGCTCTGCCCATGTTTCTCTTGTTTGAAATGATATTTAACCTGTTGACATGACAGACAAGGAAGAAGGAGTGTTAATCTCAGTCTACCTGGGATTTCTGACCAAAAAGAAAATGATCAATGAGAACTAAATGGGATGAAAAGGAAATTTGGATGGACTCACAAGAAGCATCAAAGGTTTGGTATCATCACCCACTCCTAATTTTAATTGCTTCAAGTCTTGTACATGTTTTTTACAAGCAATCTTTTGTCTCGTACCTGTGCTCCTGCCTTAGGAAACATGGCTGGAATGTATGCTCACACTGAGCATTCACCTAAGTGTAGCTATGGTGCCATCTGGCTGGGCTGTAGCACCCTAAATCTCCCTTGTTCCTTCTTTGTAGTGTGCTCCACTGGCCCTCCTAGCTGTTAATGCAAAACTCATTTTCGCCGGCCTTGTTTTTTGTTTGTTGCTTCTGGTCTTTATGTCCTAAATAGAATGGGGATAATCCAAACTAAAAATAAAGTTCATGTCATTCATCCATTTTTTTATGATCCAATTTTCTGGATACGCTTGAAGTTATTATCTTGTCCTAATGGGCTAGATGTAAAGAATGTACTCTTGATTTAGGGAAATATCGTGCCTGGAGATCATTATTGTACCTTGATGTTTGAGCCACAGGGCCTCTGTGGCAAGAGTTCAAGAAAAGTCATTGCCTCTTTGAGCAGCTCTTAGGAAGTGTAGCTGTTGCCTTTCCCCCAAAGCAAAGAATTCTTCATGTACTTGAATCAAGGTAGGGGCATGGTGTTGTCATTCTCTAGGTCACCGTTTGGCCTGTGGGGGTGTCATGTCCAGGGCGACAGCCATATGGAGCAGCACAGAGCTGATGAATGGAGGTTCCTTCTGCCAGTTGGCGTCCCCTGCTTTCCACATACACTGCAGCCATTACCACTGGCTTTTCATCCATGTGAAAATGTCTTCCTGTCACTTACCTTGAATAATACTTGAATAATATCAGTATTCTCTTCTAACAGAAATAGAATATAGCAGGCAAAAGAATAGAACAAACATGGTATGTATTTTAGATAAAAGGGTTTATGATCAGTGTCACCATAAAATGCAGCAATATGACATTGCATGTGCTTTTTGCTCAGCATGTGAGTAAGCTGTGTGAATCTAAGTTGTGAATGCAACCATCTATGCATGGGGAAAGAGGTTTGGTGGTTTCTCTGTTCTCCAGGTAGAGCTGGTTTCTAAGAGAGTTAATTCTTGAAATGGCCATTATTGCTGAGGTGAAGTGCCTAAAAGAAGGAATTTAATTCCTTTTGAGTGACTTTTAGTCAAGAAGCAGTTCTTGTTTTCTTATATGTATGTGTGTGTGTACTTAGACAACTGAAAAACTTGAACTTCATATCGCACATTTCTTCTCCAGAGGGTAGGCCAGGCTGGAAGACTCTGAACATCTGCTGCTTCTCTGCAAATGAATGATTCAGTTAAATTTTGAGGCTGCACTGAGGAAGAATCATTTGCATCATCAGAAAAACTGACCTTTTATGCTTCCCTCTTGTGCCACGTGTAACATAGCTTCATATTGGTGTGTGAATAGAAACATTCAAGAGCTGTTCCAAGTAACGTTCAGAAAACAGAATACTGCCTCCTCATCACATACTCTCTCGTGTATTTCACCAACTTAATAATCAAATAGGGATGTTTTTTGCTATCTGAATACTGATGGAATACCTCCATCTGGGCTTCCTTTGGTGGTCCACTTGCAAAACATGGCTCATATACAGAAAAGGTGGGTCTGCCATTTAGAACAGGTCTCAGGCATTTATTGCACTCGGGATGGAGGAATCAAAACATTCAACTGAAGCAAAAATGTAAAAGCTCCACTGATGTATGCTGGAACTGATGTGGCTGAAACTGCACACAGCTGGAAAGTGTGAGTAGCTACATCTGCATGACTTCAAGAAAGTCACTGTGTGTCCCTGGAACATCTAGGAGTCAGTAACACACTGCCAAAGAACTGACAGACACTTCTTTGGGATGACACTGGGACCAGTGGCAAGACCAAGCAAGAATTATCCCTGCATCTATTGATAACGTGGCAATTTTGGGGCTGGAGTACTAGTAGGCTTGGGAAAGGCAAAGAGGAGTTTTCCACCCATCCATGCACATGTGGCACAGCTACCAGGGAGGCCAACACAAGCAGCAGGTCTGTAACTTTTCAGAAGTGATATTTAAAAGCCGATTCTATTGAATAAGGCTGAATCAGATCCAGAGCAAACCTGCTGTTATTGGTGCCCCAGTGAACCAAGCTTTGAGACTGCTTCTAGAAAGCTGACCTTTGAAATCTTACCCTTTATAGCTGCGTTGCTCCTGCTGCATGAGGAAAATAAAGATTCCATTCATCACAGGTGTTCTGAAGCTTAAGTTACTAGATTTTGTGAGGCACAGAGGACGTTTTAGCTACGTCCTCTATGATTATTAATGCTTTACATGATGGAGATGTGCACCATGCAGCTTGTGCTCAATCTGGCACAGTTATCTTTGCTAGTCCTTAAAACCAACCCTAATTAACTAGCATGTTTGCCAGTGATGAAACAACTCAAAACATCTATTTTAGAATTTTCTGAGTATAATTATTTGGAAACGTTGTAATAGAATGTAAGCAGCAGAAAATATTAACCTATGGGTCATGGAAATTAAAACAGCAGGGCTTTGGAGAGGTAATTCACGAACGACTGAATTCTGGCTTGCATCCTCCTCCACAGCACTGAGCTTGTGGGCAAGCCCCTATCCCACTGGACTACATATCTACAGTATTGTGATTAAATCCTAACTTTTTTCTGAGAGGTTGTTGCATGGCTTGTACCTGCCTGCATTGTCTCTGTCTCTGCAGAAATGGAGCTCACCCAAGGTAGTCTGGGCTCTAGCAAGTGGTGTTAGAAACTTGCCCTGGCAGGAAGTGGGGGTAGAAAGTACCTCTCTGGCTCAGTGGAACCTGGGGAGAATGAGTGAGCTGTCTGGCAGTTCAGACCAGATGTTTTAAGACCCATGCTTCTGAGCAGATAATGTGTAACCTTTCTTAGAGATTTTTGCTTGTGGTGCATATTTCCTGTGCTTTCTATATCCTGGCAGAACAAAAGTCGGTAAACCTCAGTCACTGCACAGCACATTACAACACAGACTGACTCTGTGCAGCTTTGCTAAGGTGGCTTCTGCAACAGTTCAGCTAGCTGGATGACATTAGGCTGCACTAACAACTGGGCCTCTCCAGCACAAAATAACCATTTCTGTTTGATCCCTCAAAATCAGTTCAATGGCAGCAATGGAGCAGTGGCAGTTTGGCGCATTATTTGAAGAACGTAAACTACCACAGTGGACATCAGTGGCCCCGTTAATGGCTGTGTAGCTGGGAAAACAAGTGAAAGTGCTGCAAGAAAACTTGCATGATCTCATTAACTTCATCTGTGGAAAAGAATGTTTCTGAAGGTACATGACAGCATGAGAGGTTCGGTTACTGCAGGAGTCTTTTCAGGATCAGACCCTGACCTGAGGTATCTCCTTTGTATTCCTGCTGTTCTCTTTTCTCAGGGGGAGAAAGCAGCTGTTTTGTGAATAACTTAGTGCATTGACAAAAATATATGTGACAGGCTTTGTTGAAATCCAGAAAGAGTCACTCATGCCCTAAAGGACAATGTCTCTCAATGCTACCAAAAGTATTTTAAGCCATTGCACTTTTTCAAATAGTGGTAGATTGAAAAATTAATCCCGCAATCTGATGCTGTATCTGGAATGCCTTTCAATCCTTGCTCCAGCTCCGTTTTCATATCAGTGAACTTTTTGTGGTGAGATAACCAAAAGTAATTTAGAAAGCAACTTTCCTTCTCAGCTTTTGCCAATACTGTGGTTATCAAATAAGACCCGCTCTGCTATTTCTAGTTTACTGCTGTAGGATCCGCAACATCACTGGGAGTGCTGTCAATGGGAAAACATGAAATAAATTCTAAAAGTTGATTTGAACTTTTTTTTTCTGAAGAGAAAAGACAAAAATAAATTATGACTGCTGCCTGCTGCAGAGTTTGTGCTTCACTGCAACAGCAGCTTCTGTGTGCTTCCTGGGAAGAACAGTGTTGAGGGGACAAAGCGCATCTTGATTTCAAAGGACACTTTCATCTCAGGGATAGCAGTAACTAAGTGAAGAAAATACCACTTCTATTTCTAGGTGTTTGCAAACAAACAGCTGGGAGCACCTTAGTGTTTATGAAAAAAACATAACTGTGTATCTTCTCCGGGTGTCACACTGCAGTCAGTGAAGTTACACGTGTATAAAATAGGGAGTAAGTGAGAAAGACATAAACTTATGAAATCATTACTGTATGATCTATCTGACGAAAAACTTCCTTTCAAGTCTAGCCAAATGACTGCAACTTTTCCAAGTGGGATTGTCACACCTATGCTATGGTGTTAAGTAGTTACCCAGCAGCACCTGCTGAGTCTCACTCCTATTAATTAGAGGTGTAAGAAATCCAGTGGTGTCCTCCCAGACTTTAAAACCCAGTTGGAAGTTTATCAATGAGTTATCTTGGAGGGGGCTCACCTTGAATGAGATACAGTGTCACACTCTGGCTTGTTAAACAGGCTTTTATATAAGTGTTATGGTTTCCATAGAAACT